TATCTGACAAGAAGGAAATAAGGCATACAACCTTTACAACTTCTAAAACAATACTCTCAAATGTCTAACAAAATCTATAGTGGAGCCCCAACATAAACACATGTCGTGAACTTCTGTGAAGAAGTCATATGCAGGGTTAAGGAGATATGTCCGATGCAGGAACTAAATATTGTGGTTTCCAAACACATGGAATAAGTGGATAAATGTCCAACACGAGGACTGAAATGGATTATAGTCCACCACGAGGACTTCTATGGATTATAGTCCAACACGAGGACTGTGCAAATGAAAAGTGTATGCAGACAGATATACACAAACTAAACTTTCATGCATCTCGGTGTACATGTCTAAACTTATGTCGAAAGTCAATCCCCATGTACAGATAAATCATTAACATGATAAGCTAGGGTCAGGTTATCGAGGCGACACCGAAAGACAACTCAAACAGATGAAGAATCTGTAAAAACAGCTCATCAGTCGACTGATGTGTCGACTGATGACGTCAGTCGACTCATATGTCGACTGATGAGGTTCAGGCATCACAGCCTCAGCTCACCAGTCGACTGACCAGTCCACCGAGAAGCTGAGAAAGAAAAATCAGCTCGTCAGTCGACTGATAGCTGGACAACTTGCCCGTCGGTCGACTGATCAGTCGACCGACAGACTGCAGATAATCTATACAGGTTCTTATATACCCAAAATTTGATCTAAACTCATCCCCATCAATCCCAAGCATGAAAATATTTATATTTGCATATGTGAACCAAACTGAAACGAAAATTTCAGGCGTGAATATATGAACAAAACCCCAATCATGTGTATTTATGTTTTAAAACATTTTAAAACAAAAACCCATGTTAAATCTCTTGTAAAAACGTTTCCGATCTAGATCTCCGATACAAATGAACATTTGTGGGTTTTGAATATTCTGAAATCATATATCTTCCACTATATGCTATAAAAATTTATTCTTTGTACAAAAATTACATTTTGGCTCATCAAAACTCATAAAAATCTCTTTGAAAACGTTTAGAAAATTAGGGCAAGGTTGGGCGAGATGTTACTCGCCTCTGAGGTGATGAAGAGCTCCTGAATCTGAGGGGGAGAGATTCCTTTCGCTGCAAACTGAAGATCCCGACAAAAATCCTCCAATTTCGCCCCAAAGTCACCAAGAACTACCCTAGGGTTTAAGAGAGAAGAGAGGGGCTAGGGTTTCTCTGGTCTGAAGAGGAGAGGGGATGATTTCGGGTGGAAGAGATTATATATGAACCCTTAAACCCGACCCAAACCCGAACCAAAACAAAACAGACCCGAAACCTGGAACAACTGGAAATCAGCGCATCAGTCGACTGATGTGTCGACCGATACCATCAGTCGACTGATGTGTCGACTGATCTGGAAAATTCCAGTTTTGTGCATGTTTTGCTAATTTGCAAAATCCAACGCACAAAGCTCTACACCCATACTCTCATATCATTTCAAATAACTTGTTATCATGCACATCAATGACCTCAAGCTATTTATCATAAAAGAATTATTTATTTACTAATAATTCATATATATTCATATAAAAATTTCGGGGTTCTACACTAAAGACATAAGCTTAATGATTTTTTTATTATTTTTAATTTTTCTAGGATTTTAAGTATTATGTGAAGATAAATTAAGGATAAAATTTAAATATTATATTAAATATCATAATTAAATAATAAGATGATATATATAATTAGTAAATAATTAATTACAACTAATGATATATTTAAAAATTATCAAACTTAAAAGGGTAAAATAAAATTTAAGTTTGACAAGACAATGGTCTTTTATACGTAATATCATACTCCCTTTAAAAGTACGAGTTGGGAAAATCTTTCTATGGTCAATATTACCCTTCACTTTTTTAAATATTATATTATTATCCTAATCTATTCTAATTTTTCTACCTTCTTTAAATTTATAATTAAATGATTTATCTTATCTATAATGAGACTTAACATGTTATTGGATAAAGGAGATACGTTTGATATAATTCAAATCTTTTACTTATTTCAGTTTGTAAAGAAATCTAAAAAATATATGCTAGCCAACACCTAAAAGTTTTAGGACCTTGTAAAAAATATCCTTCAAGTTTTTTAAATTGCAAAAACACCCCTACAAATTTAAAATTTTATTAAAACATCTTGAAAATTATAAATTTTACTTATTTTAATTTAGCGAGAAATCTAAAAATATATGCTAGCTAAAAAATAAAAGCTTTTGACATTGGAGAAAGTATCCTGTAAGTTTGGAAAAATACAAAAACACTCTTGAAAATTCAAAATTTATAAAAAACACCTTAAAATTTTCAAACCTATAAACACACTAAAAACCTACAAATAACACAAATAACCCCTAAAATTTTATAGAATTTACAATAAACACTAAACTTTTTACAAATTGCAAGATAAAACCCTCAAGATTGTAAAATTTATAAAAATCCTGGTAATTTCCAACCTAATAGTACATTAAAAATACAAGAGTTACAAATATCCCCTGTATTATTTATAATTTGTAGAAAACACCCTTAAAGTTTTAAAAATTACAAATAAGGACAAATTTTGAAAAGCACCTACTTTTAAAAATTAAATAGCAAAAACGACCCCATGTAAAAGTAATGAGCAAAACCGACCCTTTTCGTTTGAAAAGGGTCGGTTTTGCTATGTGAGGTAGAATTTGTGAAATGCACGGGACTGCTAGTCCCGTGCATTTCATTTCATTTTCTTCGTTGCTCTGTCTTCGTTCCCTCGACCTTTTCACACCCAAATTCCACCGCTGGCCGGCACCCGACATGCCCACACTCCTCGTCCACGCAGACGCAGACCCCCCTCGGCAGCGGGCCCACCTTCCCACTGTACAGGTACCGCAAAACCCCGACCAGCGCGTCGAACCCAACTTCAAAACCCTTCACCAAATCCTTCAACTCGAGCTTTATCGGGTTCCCCTCTTCCTTCTCCTTTGATTTCTTCGAGAAAACGCCTCTGAGAAATGGGCTTCTTGCGGAGAGAACGCAACGGTGGGCCCCGACCTCCTGCTGTTCGAGAATTCGTGGGTTTCCATTTTTGAGAGGAAAAGGCTTGGGAAGAAGAAGGGGAGATGGTCACGAGCAAAATGGGGCTTTTTTTTTGCGAGTCGGGAATTAAAACGAAGTGTACGGGACTACTAGTCCCGTACACTTCGCAACAGCCAAACTTACAACAAAACCGACCCTTTTCAGGGGAAAAGGGTCGGTTTTGCTAATTATTTTTCTAGACGGTCGTTTTTGCTTATTAAATTTAAAAAAGGGGCTTTTTTAAAAATTTGTCCTACAAATAAACACTTAAATTTTAAATTTTACAAAAAACACCCTGAGAATTTCAAACTCATTAGTAAATTAAAAATATAGGAATTATAAATAGTCTATAAACACTTTACAATCTGTAGAAAAGGACTATAAGTTTAAAAAATTATAAAAAACCCCTAATATTCATAATTTACAAAAAAACACCATCCTATAGACATTATGAATACACAAAATTACTAACAACCACTAGAAAATAAAAAAATTATAAAAAATATCATACTCCCTTTAAAAGTATAGGTTTAGGAAAAACTTTTCATAGACAATATTACCCATAACTTTTCTTTAATGAATATAACTAATTGAAAATCTATTAGATTTGAAATTTATAAAAAAAAAACAAATTTAAAGTTTAGTACATTGCAAATTACCCCTCCAAAGTTTGAAAATTTTCAATGATTTTTTATAGTTCCTTGATTTTAATATAATTTTTAATAGTTTTGTGTATTTGTAAATTATAAAAGTTTAGGGTATTTGTTTTTACAATTTTTAAAACTTTTGGGGGTGTTTCTTTTGTAGTTTTTTAAATTTTTATTGTGATATTAGTGTAATGCATTGATATATCAATTAATGATGATATTAAAGAGTAAGTCGTTCGTAAGTTGTATTAGGCTATAGTTAAGTGTGCACATCACTATTCTTAGGTAGTATAGTTTATACATGCAACAAATTTCTAACAATCTATATAGTGGTTTAAAGGTTTTTGACTTTAATGTAGTATTTTTTATAAATTATATTTAATGTGAACTCATCATATAATTTTGATTGTGGTCATTATAATTTTAATACGTTTAATTGATTGACTATATAGGTATATAGACCATAGATTATTTTACTTTCTCGCGTGAAATAATATTTGGCACTAAATAATTTAAATTATTACTTTTACATTTAATTTAAATAGGAGCTTTAATAACATTTATTTATTTACCTACATGATAATATAATTTTAATTCTTATTTTTTACTTGAGATTTATTTTATAGTTAGGCGTATCAAATTAGCAATTAAAATAATAATTATTTATGCTTAAATTAGGATGATTGTTGGTCACTCACTATAAAATTTTTACGAAGATATATACCTTACTTTTTATAGCTATCTACACTGTCAATGTATATTTTATAAATTAGTTGTTAATTTGACATATTAAATTACTTTTTCTTGATAGAAATTTTTTCTTTGACTTTTGGATTGTGTAATTACTATGTCACCATTTTAGCATAGAAAAGACATCATTCTAAATGGCTTCAAGTCAATGTTTGAATTGAACTAAAGTATATACTATTGCTACTATGTGTATGTATTTTTTAAGAAAATCATGTTGACGCTTTTTAAACAAAAAAAAAATATTTTAACCTCTGATGTTATAAAAACAAAATATAGCCAATTGAGTGACTAGTAAATGTATAAATATAACAATTCATCTGGATGAAAAAAGTAATCTTAAAAAATTACTGTGGCCGGTTCAAGTCCTCACAGCACCGAACTCAAGCGGTGGTCGAACTTGAATTTTACCAGTCAAGAACGGGGGATCCAACGTGATCCATTGCGCACAAACCGACTAAAAAGTGAGAGAAGCATAAAAAAAGCGAAATATAAAAAAAAGAAAAAGAAAAAGAAAAACCAAGTTGTGTAAAAAACAAGGCAACCAAAAATATAATAAAATAAAAAATTGCTAAAATCGCTGCCATGACCCCAATCTCCATCTTCCCTCAATCTCTCCGCCTCCTCTCCCCTCCCTCTCCCCTCCTCATCTCCTCCCACCTCAAAACCAAACGAACCCCATCGAACCCCATTATAATGACGTCATGGCTGAAGCAAACCCTAGGCCAGCGCTTCAATCCCTCGGGGATCTCCTCCTTCACCGACGTCATCTCCAGGGACCCACAGCTCGCCCTACCCCACCTCACCGTCCCCGACATCCGCCACCTCGACTGGGCCGAGCTCCGGCGGTTAGGGTTTCAAGGCGTCGTCTTTGACAAGGACAACACTCTCACTGCGCCGTATTCTCTTTCTCTCTGGCCATCTCTCGTTCCGGCCTTTGAGCTCTGCCGATCTGCTTTCCCCGGAAAAATCGCGGTTTTTAGTAACTCCGCAGGTGAGCATTTGTTTTTTCTTGTTTCATTTTATTGAGAATATTTTTTGCATTTTTAAATATCTTTTTGATATATGGGTTTTGGGTTTAGGGTTGTATCAGTATGATCCTGATGGGAAGGAGGCGAGGGCTCTCGAGGAGGCGATTGGAGGGGTTCATGTTATAAGGCATGGCAAGTATATCTTATCTCTATATTTGTTTTATTTTTAAAATTTTTTGAAAAATTAGTGTTGTTATCTTGAGAAATTCTAGCTAGCTATACAGCATTTTTAATTGGAAAAGTAAGTGCTAGTTTATGATATGAAACTTTGCTAGTAAACCAAAATTCTAAATATTTTGGCAGAAATTGCTTTACCATTTGTTTATAGTCACGACATGATTCATGAGTTATCCAAACCATATTATCTCAACCTTGAAACCATATGTTATCTTGCGTTATTCGAAAGGCCATTCTAGAAAAATATGCATATAGTTAACTTAATTTCTCGCATGACAGGGGTAATCTAAGTCATGGAGAACTTAATAGAAGAGAGTTTTGAATACATAAACAATTTTTTCTTTCACTTGCACATCTATTAAGAGAGAAGAGTCTCCTTATGCACCATAGATGTTGCCATTAGAGAGCAATTGGGAATATTCAACAGAATTCAAAGGCAGTTTCTATAGGTGGACAACTATAGATAAGTTTGAAATCCTCTAGGAATTCTCAGAACTACCAAAGCCTCTACATTTTTGGAGTTTTTGAGTGATATATGTGCTCCGAGTTCATTCTGGTTTTCTGGAAGAAGATAATATGATTTATAGTGCACTATGTAGCACGGACACGGATCCGACACGGCCATCCGACACGCCGACACGAGGCAAATCCTAAAAAATACATAGGATACGTATGTTCGACACGTGTGTCCGACACGGACACGACACGGCTTCATGTTATGTGTGTCCGTGCTTCATAGGTTATAGAAAATGACCAGAGCTCTTTAAAATGCCGGTGGTTACATTATGGGGGTTATGTTGGCATATTGGGAACTTAGCATAAGCCATGATTATATATTTCTTTAGTTTCGACTAAGCTTGCACCTTTATTTTCAAATGTATTGTAGATAAATCTTGTATTTACTAAAGATTCATTGTTTGGATAGCAGAGATTAAGAAGCCAGGTGGAACAGCAGAAGATATAGAGAAGTACTTTGGTTGTTCGGCCTCAAATCTCATCATGGTAATTTCAAGACTTGTGCAATTGACTCTCTCTTTGGATGCCATTTTATTTAAATTATGGGTTTTTTCCTAATGCCAGGTGGGGGATAGGCAATTCACTGATATTGTTTATGGAAATAGAAATGGCTTTCTGACTATTTTAACAGAACCTTTAAGTCTTTCCGAGGATCCTTTTGTTGTCAAACAGGTATAAACTTTCTTAGATTATTGCCCCTTGTTCATTTATAGCTGTCTGACGCTGAAAAATGGAGAAAGGTAAACCCATCTGTTGAAGTATGCTATGTGATTTTTAAGTTACTGAGTTGGTATTTTGAAATGTACTTTTAGACTCTAGCTTTGCAATTTGGCTCATTGCTACATTGCCACATGGTGGATGATACTTGTAGGTAGAAATTTTTCAACATGGAGAATTAAGTACATGTGTAACACTTCTTTTTTGTATACTTCTTTTATCATATGTCATAGCCCAGGGTTGGACGTGATACTCATTAGGACCTTAAATGTACTCGTAAATGCCTCCATCTTAGTGAAGGAGTGTTACTGGGACATAGGATTTTAGATAAACTGATAGAAGGAATGGAGGGATATGATGCGTTCGGGTTCCTAATGGTCTTTCAGGTGAGCAGTATGGCAATGCATATCTTTTTTCCTACATCAGGCAATAAGTTTTACATTAATAGTTGGTCGTTTTCCTGACAATATAATAATCACAAATGTCGAAGTTCTATGCCAAAAAATATTTTGCCTTTCATTCGTCAGTAGATTTCTTGAATATTGACTGTGACATACATCAACAGATTATGGGATTGCGGCCGACATTGTGATTTACAAACTCACAAAAATTGAGAATTAAGCCCGGTGTGCCCTTGAATCAGTTGATCATCCTTTAGATAGATCTCTATGATCTGAAGTATGAAACGATTGATTCAACCTTTGCATGCTTAGAGGAATTGAAGCAGACCAAACCTTGTCAGTGAAAATGTATCTTTTATCAAGAAACAAAAAACTAAAGCACTAACCAAAGAACAATACAAGCATCACATATGCTTGCTGCTGTAGTTGTCAGTGATGATAATTGGACGGCATACAATAGTCAGGAGTATATCTTGCGATTAGAAAGTAATGTGGTTTTGATTGTTCTTGGAGTCTTAGAGTAGATAATTCAACTGTTTGTGCTTATTTGCTGCGAACTGGATAGCCACTGGTTCAATTTTTAGAGCATCTATCAAGACTGAAAAGTAAGAATGCCCATCAAGGTGTCCTGGTTTAGTTTTTGACATGAAGTGACCTGGTCAGGTTCAAGTTCCTTTCTAGATGGAAAAGTTTTTAGTTTTAATGCCACCTAAAATTTTTTTCCATCAATATTAGCCATGACGCACAAATCAACGCAAGGAATCTCCATAAAAGGTTTGGTGAAGTTTTGCAACATATTGTTCCATCAACTTGAATAGAAAACCTCCAACATTTCCTAGACTAGGTATTAGGGAAGAAGAGGAGTCTTGACCAAATGTAAGATAAACCAAGTTTTGCTATAGGGCATTGCATGTCTGCAAGTATGATATATCTTCATGTATGTCGTGTGCAAAGAACTGTAAATAAGTTGAATATAAGATGCTACACTAGAAAGCTTTTACTTGCTGATAGGTTACAAATTATTTGATCAGGTAGTCTGTATAGATGATTTATCTGCTGGCTACTATATATTTTATGGTATTCAAGACCAAGAAACACATCTGCCATAAAAAAATAAAAATAAAAATAAAAAATGGGGAGGAGGGGGGGNGTGGATCTGGGTGCTTGGTTATGTGCATAGGTGAAAGAAATTTGAAAGGACACCTACAAGATTATCATGAAAATACTTGTTATACTCAGGAGGCAATGTAATATTCTGAAGCTACCAATCATGCAGTACATGAAGAATTGTGAAGTTTCAAGTCTTTGAAAGCATAATTGACAGAAGGGGACTAATACCAAGCATCATATTTCCACTTGTGAATTATGATTCCTCTCTTCACAGTCTTTAGGTACAAACACCTATTTTACAACTTGACTCGGTTATTTTGAAATTGGTTGATGAGCCTGGTAGCACTGTAGCAGGACCAAAGACTAATGTCTTGCCAGTTGCTGAAGGCAGACTTTACATGCCCAACTTTAGGTGAAAGTCATATCATTTTGTGTTACCACATTTTCTGATTTTAGTGGAAAAAGTGGAAGGAGCCAATTTAATGCCTTGCTCGTTCGTAGGCTAATCTTAATATTTAAAAGGAAATTCAAAAAATTGTTTAGTTATGTTGATGATTTCTTAACGGTCGCTTCATTTAATGGATCAAAAAATTGTTTAGTTATGTTGATGATTTCTTAACGCCCCATTATTTCACACGTTTAAGAATCATATTGTACTAGCGTTATCATACGTGCAAGAGGCGCAATTTTTTTAAAATATATTCTTTAGAGATTCGATTATAATTATAATGTGATGATATCTTAAATATAAG